TGAGGAGGATTATGGCCCTTATGGTTTTGGTCCTGGTGCTGGTGTGTCCAGCTGGCCAGACCTCACAGAGCGATTGAAGAAGGTTGGTGCCTACGAGAAGTACCTCGAGTGGCGAGAAGGTGATAGGGGGCATAAAATGTGCATGACATGTGCACGAGCATCACGAAGCAAAAAAAAAAAAGGTATTTTCGACTGCCGTATACTGCCTTGAAATTGGGCAGGAGGACCATAACCATGTCATACCATTGTGTTGCATTTTTTAGAAGATTTTTCTTCCCCAACAGCGTTAGCTGTTTTGTTCGGCTTCTGGTGTGGGGTTCCAGGATGGTTGCGGGTTCGAGAGGTTTCGGTGCGGGCTCCACTAGTAGTCACTAGTTGCATGTGGTTGTGGAGGTTTTGGGCTTTCCAGACAGTTCCGGTGTGGCTTCTCACAGGTTCTGGGCAATTGTTCTGCGTGATTCCGGTGTGATTGGCTCTGGGTCGTTCTAGGTGCTTCTGTGATCGGAGGTTCTCATGTGTGATCCGGTGCAGGTGCAGGTCACTGATAACTGATAGGTGGTTTTGGAGGTTTCCAGCGTACAAAGCACAAGACAGGTACAGTCAAGTAGGCGCAAACTGGATGATGTCACACTTTCCTACTTCCTTTGTTGTTGATTAGCTGGGCTTATTTTTCTGTGTGCGTGAGTGCGTGAGTGTTTTTTTCACGTTTCTGCATGTTTGTTCACTTGCATTGACATTTAAACTCTATTGATTTGTATCGATACATCTTTTAGTTGCCATGAAGGTTACATGCGCTGGCGGATGGGAGAAAGCAACGGTGCCAAAGGGGAGATTGTCGTTGACACAAAGACAGCTCCAATGGCTCCAATGGCTCCAAAGGCTCCAAATGCAAAACTTTCGAAGGCAAAACTACTTAGTTGGGGCCTGAGCCGCCTTGTCACAGCTTTGTCCATGGCTCTGCCTTTTGGAAATCATTTAAAGGTACTGAGACGCTCTGAGTTGCGCAGTGTCAGGAGATGATTCAGACCTTGGCACCTTCCAACCAAGAGACCCAGCTCCTCATTTAGCTTCGAAGAATTTGGAGGAGCATGGCTTGAAACGGCTTGATACACGGCATAAGAGGCATAACAAGAGGCATAATACGCGGCACTAGTGCGTTTCGCAGACCGGTCTTCAAACAGCCATGGTCAGACCATCGAAAGCGCATGAAACATACTGAAACATCATGAACTGAACATGAACTGAACATGAAGCTGCAGTGTTGCAGTGCGGACCCGGTGCGTTTCTGTACATTGCAAGACGTGCTTGAAACCCTCAGCCATTTGAGTTGCTTACAGGCCTCTTTGGTAAAGGCCTTTTTGTGAACCGAGATCTTGCAGTTTTGTACTTTGTAGTCTACTTATGTCTATATTTGTTTGAAGTGGAGGGTGTTGAAAAGCATTGCGATTTTAGTTCTCTTGGTAGTTGGATCCATGTGTACTTCGGTAAAAGTCTTTTTGGGCAGCGATATGATGGTCAATCGATGTATCATGCTGAGGTACCAGCATGTCGTCGGTTTGACAGTTTTTGAGAAATTCTTTAGGTCTTTCAGCATGTGTCACACACCACGAATGTTAGTTTCTTGTAGCTGGAGGTGTTTGTACATCAGCAAAGTTTGTGGAGAGACAGAAAACATGAATAACAATGAACATGTGAAGAAAGCAATAAAACATATGAACACATGATTTCACGTTATACTACTTGCACCTCCCCCCAAGCTGGACAGTCACCTCGACATTCTCTCCAATCTTGCTACTACCATGGATGCTTCACAAGTCATTTTGCTATGGCTCATTTGTAGTAGTACCAGTGGCCAACATGGTCGCTTCATGAGCGGTAATACTTTGTAATTAGGGAAGCGCAAACCTTGTTTATTGATTTCTTAGATTTCTTAATGATGACTCATGAATGTAAACTGGAGAAGAGCTGTGACTGTGCCAACAATAGCTCTACCACTGGTTTGGGGGTGGAGGTATGTTTGGTGCCATTGCAGTCAGTTCTACAGCATTCAACGTAGATGACGCGTGTACTGTTTCATGGGCATCACCCCAGTGCATTGGCACACAAAAAACAATTGAATAGATCACAACAAAAAATCCCATGTCACGGTGTTACCATGTATATTCGGTAAATAGTAACACCAGATAACACGAGAAAACTACATCGCTGAGTTTCAGGGCCGTTTGCAGAAGATCCGACCCAGCTGCAGCCTGACACCATGCTTAGTGAGATAATTGCGGATCGCTATTTCCAGCTCCCTTCCAGGTCTTCAATGCCAACGCTGCCAAAAAAGGCACTGTTTTGTGATAATATTATACGTATATCCGCATATGACTATCGCATTCATGAATATAGATTATATACACGATATGTTGATAGGATTGTATTAGTATATATTGTGTTGTACATATGTTTGATTTATTTTGCTACGTTTGTTACGTTTGGTCGTGTACGGCCCCGACTGCGTCACGACGCGAAACCCATCCACGCGGAAAGACTCGCAGGGCTTGATATGGCTTGATGTTTTGAACATATCTGAATCAAGCAAAAGGAACTTCTACGAGTTTTCTTAAATTTATTTGTCTGCATCAAAAATGGTCTATTTCGACATGTTGATCTGATTTTTCATTTTTCAGTTTGCCAGGAAAACACTCCAAAAGAAGGCGTCCAGCTGATGATGGCGCCAGTGAAAGGTGAGATTGTTGCAGATATGCCTGAAGTAGCAGCTGTTCTGCATCCTGTAGCGGTGCCCAGCTTGAAAGAGCTTCTCAGTGAAGAAGGTCGGGCTGTGACAAGATGTGACAAGATGTGACAAGATTGCATAAACGAAACCACACCAATCCGAATCTTTCAATAGTGTGGTTTCTGATCGAAATGTGTCGAAAGATCGAAATACACCTGGGGACTAGAGTAGAATAGAGTAGATATATTTCGACAATGGGCTACTCTAGTCCCTAGATGTCCCTAGGCCATCTCTGGCCTCAAAGCAGATTCTCCAAGTCCAGGGTTTCGATGCACAGCAAGAAAACAATAGGAAGACATTTTGTTCACATCACGTTATTACAATTTATTACAATTTATTACATGTTCTTACATCGTTTTACGTTTTGAGTTTGTTGCTTCGGAGCATCTTGCATCTTGATTCTTGTTTATTCTTGTTGATTCTTGTTGATTCTTGTTTTGCTTGTAGGTGATTGGCAAAGACAGGAAAGCGAAAGCCGTGGCAAGCCGATGACTGTATCCCTGGCTTCAATCCAGGAAGTCTTGGACGAGATCCGGGATGCCTTGGAAACTCGTGAGCAAATTGAAAGATCGGTTTTGCAGATAATTTCAGATAATTGAAAAATATTGAAAAATCGAATGATTATCAAATTATCAATAATCTAGTGAGACCCTCACCTGGCAGGCGGGGAAAACCATACAATTAGCAGGTTGCATTCACATTTGCGTTTGCGTTCTCGATTCACATGAAAAGAGGCGAAAGGACCGAAAGGGTTTTTACGACGGATTCTAATATGAGCTAATATGAACGGGGCCGGCAAAGAACAGATAGAGCTGCCTTGAGACAATTACATCATGTTGACCCAGGATGAATCTACCCCCAGTGTATTCATAGTGCGAATTTTAATAGTCATTGATTTCACTATTTTAGGCTTGTTACGGGGCATTACCACCCACGTAGCAGTGTTTTCGTCTCCTCATGGGCAGCCGAGAAAGTGTTGGGTGATATTGGGTGATATTTTCAACGATGTTAAAGAAACCCGTCCTTCTTGTATCCTTCACCTTCTAATTTCAGTCATGGGTGCAGATAATCACCCCCGAGTGTCAAAGTTGAGGATATTTGAGGGTGTTGCATATGAGGTGTCCGCACCATCACAGCTGCAGGGAGGACCGACAGGTTCACTTTGATTTTCTGAAGCCCTTGTCGCTGGTAGTTTTACGGACTTTCGCAATGTGCATTTCTCCCAATCATTTGTAGCTCCTGGCCGTTCACATGGACATGGGCTTTAACTGTGGGCGGTGGTTGTGTGTTACTCAAGTAACCAAGGCTCCTTGAGCTAACGCAGAAGAGCTCCCAATGTTGTTGGCATCGCAGGACCAAGTTCATTCACGGCGATGATCGAGACAGTGCAATTCATGCTACTTTTGCCAATGCACTCAATGTAGCAGTGCTAGGAGAACTTCTAGCTGCACGATTGGCTGTAACATCGTAGTGCATCGGTCCCCGACACTCATTTCATTGATTGATGAGGTCCCAAAGATTCACGTTGGGTTCCTGCCAGACCAGGATAGCAGCATCAAAGCAAGACTTCAGTGTCACGAAATGAACATTCATACAGCTGCTTCTCTTCACAGAGGACTGGGTGGACAGAGATCAGGTTTAAGCTGAGTCTTTCTCGCATAGAATTGTAATTTCACCAGGCCTAGACAGACCTGACAGGTCTTCAATTTGCTGTCTGAAAAGAACGCTGCCCCTGCATGCACATTGTGAGAATTCTAGTGAGACGGAAATCTTGGCCCGGCTGGAAGTAGCAGGCCTCAGTGCCTTTAGCCTCCAAGGTGAAAGGGAGAAACGTGTTGTTGAAGCTTTCGTAAGTGGATTCTGCCAGCATGGACAGTTTCCACTTCTGTCAATCCAGGTAGGCTGTCTTCCAGTTCACAACAGTTGAACATGCTCTCCAAAAGGTGCCGTTGGCTTCCTGTTTGAAAGTCATGGCAGCATCAGAGCAAGACTTCCGTGCCACCAAATAAACGTTCATACATCTGCTTCTCTTCACACAGGACTGGGTGGACAGAGATCAGGTTTTAGCTGACTCTTGCGCTTATAGAATTGTAATTTGACAGTTTCCGCTGCTGTACTATCGATCCAGGTAGGCGTGTTCCAGTTCACAACAGTTGAACACGCTCTCCAAAGGAATCAAAGCATTCTGAATCACTCGAACTTTTCGACCACCCTTTACTATCCTAGCCTGATCCAAGTTAATCCTTAATGATTACCCGGTTTACGGATTAGCCCGCGGACCGGGGCACAGGTTCTACATTAAGTATTTAAAATTAAAGGTTTTGGGGCCTTCTTTCTTTCAAACACCATTTACCTTTCCGCCTCAGCAAATCCAAACCCCCGGGAAGCAGAAATCAAGCCGAAAGTGCTTAAAAGGGGTTTGCCGGTGGACCTGCCAGAGCAAACCCCTTTTAAGCAGAAATCAGGCCGAAAGTGCTTAAAAGGGCTTTGGCGGTGGACCTGCCAGAGCAAACCCCTTTTAAGCAGAAATCAGGCCGAAAGTGCTTAAAAGGGCTTTGGCGGTGGACTTGCCAGAGCAAACCCCTTTTAAGCAGAAATCAGCCCGAAAGTGCTTAAAAGGGCTTTGGCGGTGGACTTGCCAGAGCAAACCCCTTTTAAGCAGAAATCAGGCCGAAAGTGCTTAAAAGGGCTTTGGCGGTGGACTTGCAGAGCAAACCCCTTTTAAGCAGAAAGCAGGCCGAAAGTGCTTAAAAGGGTTTTGCGGTGGACTTGCAGAAATTAAGCAGAAATCAGCCGAAAGTGCTTAAAAGGGCTTTGGCGGTGGACTTGCCAGAGCAAACCCCTTTTAAGCAGAAATCAGGCCGAAAGTGCTTAAAAGGGCTTTGGCGGTGGACTTGCCAGAGCAAAGCCCTTTTTAGCAGAAATCAGGCCGAAAGTGCTTAAAGGGCTTTGGCGGTGGACTTGCCAGAGCAAAGCCCTTTTTAGCAGAAATCAGCCCGAAAGTGCTTAAAAGGGCTTTGGCGGTGGACTTGCCAGAGCAAGGCTGATTTCTGCTAAAAAGGGCTTTGGCGGTGGACTTGCCAGAGCAAAGCCCTTTTTAGCAGAAATCAGGCCGAAAGTGCTTAAAAGGGCTTTGGCGGTGGACTTGCCAGAGCAAAGCCCTTTTAAGCAGAAATCAGGCCGAAAGTGCTTAAAAGGGCTTTGGCGGTGGACTTGCCAGAGCAAAGCCCTTTTAGCAGAAATCAGCCCGAAAGTGCTTAAAAGGGCTTTGGCGGTGGACTTGCCAGAGCAAAGCCCTTTTAAGCAGAAATCAGGCCGAAAGTGCTTAAAAGGGCTTTGGCGTGGACTTGCCAGAGCAAAGCCCTTTTAAGCAGAAATCAGGCCGAAAGTGCTTAAAAGGGCTTTGGCGGTGGACTTGCCAGAGCAAAGCCCTTTTTAGCAGAAATCAGGCCGAAAGTGCTTAAAAGGGCTTTGCCGGTGGACTTGCCAGAGCAAAGCCCTTTTAAGCAGAAATCAGCCCGAAAGTGCTTAAAAGGGCTTTGGCGGTGGACTTGCCAGAGCAAAGCCCTTTTAAGCAGAAATCAGGCCGAAAGTGCTTAAAAGGGCTTTGGCGGTGGACTTGCCAGAGCAAAGCCCTTTTTAGCAGAAATCAGGCCGAAAGTGCTTAAAAGGGCTTTGGCGGTGGACTTGCCAGAGCAAAGCCCTTTTTAGCAGAAATCAGCCCGAAAGTGCTTAAAAGGGGTTTGCCGGTGGACTTGCCAGAGCAAAGCCCTTTTTAGCACTTATCAGCCCGAAAGTGCTTAAAAGGGCTTTGCTCTGTGGACTTGCCAGAGCAAAGCCCTTTTAAGCAGAAATCAGGCCGAAAGTGCTTAAAAGGGCTTTGGCGGTGGACTTGCCAGAGCAAAGCCCTTTTAAGCAGAAATCAGGCCAAAAGTGCTTAAAAGGGCTTTGGCGGTGGACTTGCCAGAGCAAAGCCCTTTTCAGCAGAAATCAGGCCGAACGTGCTTAAAAGGGCTTTGGCGGTGGACTTGCCAGAGCAAAGCCCTTTTCAGCAGAAATCAGGCCGAAAGTGCTTAAAAGGGCTTTGGCGGTGGACTTCCCAGAGCAAAGCCCTTTTAAGCAGAAATCAGGCCGAAAGTGCTTAAAAGGGCTTTGGCGGTGGACTTGCCAGAGCAAAGCCCTTTTAAGCAGAAATCAGGCCGAAAGTGCTTAAAAAGGGCTTTGGCGGTGAACTTGCCAGAGCAAAGCCCTTTTAAGCAGAAATCAGGCCGAAAGTGTTTAAAAGGGCTTTGGCGGTGGACTTGCAGAGCAAAAGCCCTTTTAAGCAGAAATCAGGAGGCCGAAAGTGCTTAAAGGCTTTGGGGCGGTGACTTGCCAGAGCAAAGCCCTTTTAAGCAGAAATCAGCCGAAAGTGCTAAAAAAGGGCTTTGTGCGGTGGACTTGCCAGAGCAAAGCCCTTTTAAGCAAGAAATCAAGGCCGAAAGTGCTTAAAAGGGCTTTGGCGGTGGATTTGCCAATCAAAAACCCCTTTTTGGCAGAATCAGGCCGAAAGTGCTTCAAAAGGGCTTTTGCGGTGAACTTGCCAGAGCAAAACCCTTTTTAGTGCATGAATCAGGCCGAAGTGCTTAAAAGGCTTTGGCGGTGGACTTTCCAGAGCAAAGCCCTTTTTAGCAGAAATCAGGCCGAAAGTGCTTAAAAGGGCTTTGGCGGTGGACTTGCCAGAGCAAAGCCCTTTTTAGCAGAAATCAGGCCGAAAGTGCTTAAAAGGTCTTTGGCGGGGACTTCCAGAGCAGCCCTTTTAAGCAGAGATCAGGGCCCGAAAGTCTTAAAGGGCTTTTGGCGGTGGAAACTTTGCCATGCAAAAGCCCTTTTAAGCAGAAATCAGGCCGAAAGTGCTTAAAAGGGTTTGGTCGGGTGGACTTGCCAGAGCAAGGCCTTTTCAGCCAATCAGCGCCCGAAAATGCTTAAAGGGTTTTGGCCGGTGGACTTGCAGAGCAAAGCCCTTTTGAGCAGAAAATCCAGGCATGCCGAAAGTGCTTAAAGGGCTTTGGCGGTGAACTTGCCAGAGCAAAGCCCTTTTCAGCAGAAATCACGCCGAAAAAGAGCTTAAAAGGGCTTTGGCACTGGACTTGCCAGAGCAAAGCCCTTTTCAGCAGAAATCAGGCCGAAAGTGCTTAAACGGGCTTTGGCGGTGGACTTGCCAGAGCAAAGCCCTTTTCAGCAGAAATCAGGCCGAAAGTGCTTAAAAGGGCTTTGGCGGTGGACTTGCCAGAGCAAAGCCCTTTTAAGCAGAAATCAGGCCGAAAGTGCTTAAAAGGGCTTTGGCGGTGGACTTGCCAGAGCAAAGCCCTTTTAAGCAGAAATCACGCCGAAAGTGCTTAAAAGGGCTTTGGCGGTGGACTTGCCAGAGCACAGCCCTTTTTAGCAGAAATCAGGCCGAAAGTGCTTAAAAGGGCTTTGCCGGTGGACTTGCCAGAGCAAAGCCATTTTTAGCAGAAATCAGCCCGAAAGTGCTTAAAAGGGCTTTGGCGGTGGACTTGCCAGAGCAAAGCCCTTTTAAGCAGAAATCAGGCCGAAAGTGCTTAAAAGGGCTTTGGCGGTGGACTTGCCAGAGCAAAGCCCTTTTTAGCAGAAATCAGGCCGACAAAGTGCTTAAAAGGGCTTTGGCGGTGGACTTGCCAGAGCAAAGCCCTTTTAAGCAGAAATCAGGCCGAAAGTGCTTAAACGGGCTTTGGCGGTGGACTTGCCAGAGCAAAGCCCTTTTTAGCAGAAATCAGGCCGAAAGTGCTTAAAAGGGCTTTGGCGGTGGACCTGCCAGAGCAAAGCCCTTTCTAGCAGAAATCCGCCCGAAAGTGCTTCAAAGGGCTTTGGCGGTGGACTTGCCAGAGCAAAGCCCTTTTTAGCAGAAATCAGGCCGAAAGTGCTTAAAAGGGCTTTGGCGGTGGACTTGCCAGAGCAAAGCCCTTTTTAGCAGAAATCAGGCCGAAAGTGCTTCAAAGGGCTTTGGCGGTGGACTTGCCAGAGCAAAGCCCTTTTTAGCACTTATCAGCCCGAAAATGCTTAAAAGGGCTTTGGCGGTGGACTTGCCAGAGCAAAGCCCTTTTAAGCAGAAATCAGGCCGAAAGTGCTTAAAAGGGCTTTGGCGGTGGACTTGCCAGAGCAAAGCCCTTTTAAGCAGAAATCAGCCCGAAAGTGCTTAAAAGGGCTTTGGCGGTGGACTTGCCAGAGCAAAGCCCTGTTTAGCAGAAATCAGCCCGAAAGTGCTTAAAAGGGCTTTGGCGGTGGACTTGCCAGAGCAAAGCCCTTTTAAGCAAAAATCAGCCCGAAAGTGCTTAAAAGGGCTTTGGCGGTGGACTTGCCAGAGCAAAGCCCTTTTAAGCAGAAATCAGCCCGAAAGTGCTTGAAAGGGCTTTGGCGGTGGACTTGCCAGAGCAAAGCCCTTTTTAGCAGAAATCAGGCCGAAAGTGTTTAAAAGGGCTGTGGCGGTGGACTTGCCAGAGCAAAGCCCTTTTTAGCAGAAATCAGCCCGAAAGTGCTTAAAAAGGCTTTGGCGGTGGACTTGCCAGAGCAAAGCCCTTTTTAGCAGAAATCAGGCCGAAAGTGCTTAAAAGGGCTTTGGCGGTGGACTTGCCAGAGCAAAGCCCTTTTAAGCAGAAATCAGCCCGAAAGTGCTTGAAAGGGCTTTGGCGGTGGACTTGCCAGAGCAAAGCCCTTTTTAGCAGAAATCAGGCCGAAAGTGTTTAAAAGGGCTTTGGCGGTGGACTTGCCAGAGCAAAGCCCTTTTTAGCAGAAATCAGCCCGAAAGTGCTTAAAAGGGCTTTGGCGGTGGACTTGCCAGAGCAAAGCCCTTTTTAGCAGAAATCAGGCAGAAAGTGCTTAAAAGGGCTTTGGCGCTGGACTTGCCAGAGCAAAGCACTTTTTAGCAGAAATCAGCCCGAAAGTGCTTAAAAGGTGCTTTGGCGGTGGACTTGCCAGAGCAAAGCCCTTTTAAGCAGAAATCAGGCCGAAAGTGCTTCAAAGGGCTTTGGCGGTGGACTTGCCAGAGCAAAGCCCTTTTTAGCAGAAATCAGGCCGAAAGTGCTTAAAAGGGCTTTGGCGGTGGACTTGCCAGAGCAAAGCCCTGTTAAGCAGAAATCAGGCCGAAAGTGCTTAAAAGGGCTTTGGCGGTGGACTTGCCAGAGCAAAGCCCTTTTTAGCAGAAATCGGGCCGAAAGTGCCTAAAAGGGCTTTGGCGGTGGACTTGCCAGAGCAAAGCCCTTTTAAGCAGAAATCAGGCCGAAAGTGCTTAAAAGGGCTTTGGCGGTGGACTTGCCAGAGCAAAGCCCTTTTAAGCAGAAATCGGGCCGAAAGTGCTTAAAAGGGCTTTGGCGGTGGACTTGCCAGAGCAAAACCCTTTTTAGCAGAAATCAGGCCGAAAAAGTGCTTAAAAGGGCTTTGGCGGTGGACTTGCCAGAGCAAAGCCCTTTTTAGCAGAAATCGGGCCGAAAGTGCTTAAAAGGGCTCTGCTCTGCCCTTTTAAGCAGAAATCAGGCCGAAAGTGCTTAAAAGGGCTTTGGCGGTGGACTTGCCAGAGCAAAGCCCTTTTTAGCAGAAATCAGCCCGAAAGTGCTTAAAAGGGCTTTGGCGGTGGACTTGCCAGAGCAAAGCCCTTTTAAACAGAAATCAGGCAGGAGGGCGGCGTATCCACGACTAATTTTTTAAACCTACGACAAGAAAAAAACAGACTACGACTATTTTGGAAAAAGACTATCCGACTATTTTCACTTCCACTGTATTATACAGTGCCAGAGGAGGATCCGGAGCTTCCCGTCCACTGTATTATACAGTGCCAGAGGAGGATCCGGAGCTTCCCCTCCACTGTATTATACAGTGCCAGAGGAGGATCCGGAGGATCCGGAGCTTCCCGTCCACTGTATTATACAGTGCCAGAGGAGGATCCGGAGCTTCCCGTCCACTGTATTATACAGTGCCAGAGGAGGATCCGGAGCTTCCCCTCCACTGTATTATACAGTGCCAGAGGAGGATCCGGAGCTTCCCGTCCACTGTATTATCCAGTGCCAGAGGAGGATCCGGAGCTTCCCGTCCACTGTATTATCCAGTGCCAGAGGAGGATCCGGAGCTTCCCGTCCACTGTATTATACAGTGCCAGAGGAGGATCCGGAGCTTCCCCTCCACTGTATTATACAGTGCCAGAGGAGGATCCGGAGCTTCCCCTCCACTGTATATACAGTGCCAGAGGAGGATCCGGAGCTTCCCCTCCACTGTATTATACAGTGCCAGAGGAGGATCCGGAGCTTCCCCTCCACTGTATTATACAGTGCCAGAGGAGGATCCGGAGCTTCCCGTCCACTGTATTATACAGTGCCAGAGGAGGATCCGGAGCTTCCCGTCCACTGTATTATAGAGTGCCAGAGGAGGATCCGGAGCTTCCCGTCCACTGTATTATACAGTGCCAGAGGAGGATCCGGAGCTTCCCGTCCACTGTATTATACAGTGCCAGAGGAGGATCCGGAGCTTCCCCTCCACTGTATTATACAGTGCCAGAGGAGGATCCGGAGCTTCCCGTCCAATGTATTATACAGTGCCAGAGGAGGATCCGGAGCTTCCCCTCCACTGTATTATACAGTGCCAGAGGAGGATCCGGAGCTTCCCCTCCACAGTCCGCCGCCAAAGCCCTTTTAAGCACTTTCGGCCCGATTTCTGCGAAAAAGGGCTTTGCTCTGGCAAGTCCACCGCCAAAGCCCTTTTAAGCACTTTCGGCCTGATTTCTGCTAAAAAGGGCTTTGCTCTGGCAAGTCCACCGCCAAAGCCCTTTGAAGCACTTTCGGCCTGATTTCTGCTTAAAAGGGCTTTGCTCTGGCAAGTCCACCGCCAAAGCCCTTTTAAGCACTTTCGGGCTGATTTCTGCTAAAAAGGGCTTTGCTCTGGCAAGTCCACCGCCAAAGCCCTTTTAAGCACTTTCGGCCTGATTTCTGCTAAAAAGGGCTTTGCTCTGGCAAGTCCACCGCCAAAGCCCTTTTGAAGCACTTTCGGCCTGATTTCTGCTTAAAAGGGCTTTGCTCTGGCAAGTCCACCGCCAAAGCCCTTTTAAGCACTTTCGGCCTGATTTCTGCTTAAAAGGGCTTTGCTCTGGCAAGTCCACCGCCAAAGCCCTTTTAAGCACTTTCGGGCTGATTTCTGCTTAAAAGGGCTTTGCTCTGGCAAGTCCACCGCCAAAGCCCTTTTAAGCACTTTCGGCCTGATTTCTGCTTAAAAGGGCTTTGCTCTGGCAAGTCCACCGCCAAAGCCCTTTTAAGCACTTTCGGCCTGATTTCTGCTTAAAAGGGCTTTGCTCTGGCAAGTCCACCGCCAAAGCCCTTTTAAGCACTTTCGGCCTGATTTCTGCTTAAAAGGGCTTTGCTCTGGCAAGTCCACCGCCAAAGCCCTTTTAAGCACTTTCGGGCTGATTTCTGCTAAAAAGGGCTTTGCTCTGGCAAGTCCACCGCCAAAGCCCTTTTAAGCACTTTCGGCCTGATTTCTGCTAAAAAGGGCTTTTCTCTGGCAAGTCCACCGCCAAAGCCCTTTTAAGCACTTTCGGCCTGATTTCTGCTAAAAAGGGCTTTGCTCTGGCAAGTCCACCGCCAAAGCCCTTTTAAGCACTTTCGGCCTGATTTCTGCTAAAAAGGGCTTTGCTCTGGCAAGTCCACCGCCAAAGCCCTTTTAAGCACTTTCGGCCTGATTTCTGCTAAAAAGGGCTTTGCTCTGGCAAGTCCACCGCCAAAGCCCTTTTAAGCACTTTCGGCCCGATTTCTGCTAAAAAAGGCTTTGCTCTGGCAAGTCCACCGGCAAACCCCTTTTAATCACTTTCGGCCTGATTTCTGCTTAAAAGGGCTTTGCTCTGGCAAGTCCACCGCCAAAGCCCTTTTAAGCACTTTCGCGCTGATTTCTGCTTAAAAGGGGTTTGCTCTGGCAAGTCCACCGCCAAAGCCCTTTTAAGCACTTTCGGCCCGATTTCTGCTTAAAAGGGCTTTGCTCTGGCAAGTCCACCGCCAAAGCCCTTTTAAGCACTTTCGGCCTGATTTCTGCTTAAAAGGGCTTTGCTCTGGCAAGTCCACCGCCAAACCCCTTTTAAGCACTTTCGGCCTAATTTCTGCTTAAAAGGGGTTTGCTCTGGCAAATCCACCGCCAAACCCGGCCGAAGCACTTTCGACTTTCGCCGTGATTTCTGGTTCCCAGATTGGAAACGTCACCGTCCTATCTATGCTTTAAACCGGATTACGGATTAGGTCTCGGATTACGGATTCGACTCTTTGGGGCTTCTGAGACGGATTCCGGGATTACGGATTAAGGTAAGGCTCGCGAGCATTTGGTACAGCTTAGATTATCCCCAATAGGGTCCCCCGAAAGGAATAGATCCAATACATTGCACAATGGTTCCGTTTGGGGCGTATTTAACATTAGGGGGATGGGGTTTGAAATGAAGAAGAGCTGTGGTTCCTAGGGCAGTTTCGGCAAAGGACTGCCTCGTGACTTGCAAACAGAGCTATGCTGGATTTCTGCGGCCGCGGGAGGCCGAGAGCGAAGCTGCAAAGCCAATGGGCTCCCGGTTCCACCAGGGATGTAACCAACCAAAATGCATGGAGTATGTCACCGACAGAAATGATGATTTTGTGGAAGATGTGAATGGATATAGTATAATATAGTCCTTTCATGTCCTTTCCAGATCATGTCAACCCCTTGCATGGAGCCCTGAAATTTGCAGGTTTCCGGGCTGGCGTTTTGCGGGGAAGGGATGACCAAGTCACCAAAATAGACCATACGACCATTCTATTCGGTTACTGTCAGCTACAAAGGTGAATTGCTCATTTCATCCCATTTCCAGAAATCAGGATTCAGGTAATTGAGGACAACGGAGCTGTGACAAAAAATATTTACACAGGACTGAACAACTATATAGAGGAGGTCGACAACATTGGAAAGGTAAGAGGAAACAAATGCATGGAAGTAGGCAAACAATTTCTTAGATGTCGATACTTTCTCAAAACTACACACAAATGAAACCATTTGATACAAGCCCTCTGGTTGGGAAGCCATTCGTGTCCACCTGTGCGCCACCACTACTATGCAACTGCTGTGCAGTTGATGGTGTCTAGTTTTGATACCACCTTGGCTTAGCCAGAACAAAGGTAGATGTAGAAAGATAGTGAAAGAGACAGAATACAGACCATTTCACTATGCTCTCCTGAAGATAGACGCGCAGGTCAGCTCTCCCTGTTTTCAGCCTTAGATCAGAGCAACCATCTTCCCAGATGTAGCCTTGCCTCGCCCCCAGCCCATGCTTTGGTTGCTTTCGAAGCAGGAAGAGGATGACATGGAAGAGATGGCAAACCAGAGCAACTTCAGCAATTTTAGCAACTTCAGCAGCCTCCGACTCTTGGCGGAACTCGTGCAGTCGCAAGCGCAGTGACTGTATTGATCTGTGATGTATAGCTGGGGAAAAAAGGTTGCAGACAGACACCTGATTCACCTGATGCTTGTTGACCGAACTGCAGAGACAACGTTTGTTTCAAGTTGAGCGAAGCAGCGAAGCCTGCTCCAGGTAACATCAGCAGCAAAGTCGCGCCAGAGTTTTTGCCCAGTGATGGAGTGATCGCCAGCTGTCCTGCAGGCAACATCATCCCAGGACAGGGGCACTTGGTCACTTGGTCATGTGGTTTTGCCGCTCAAGTGGGGCTATAAATGGTTATAAGGCTATGGATCAATACCTATTAATACCATTTTTAGGGGGATGAACATCCATTTACCAGCTATTTTGATGTTCACCAGGGGTACAAGGTTTTGACACACTGCCATAAGATTTTATAAGTTCCACAAGTTATAAACTACTTACCATTCATTAGCTGGTTGTAGGGTGATCGCCCACCGATAACGGGGGTTACCATCTTCTACGCCAGGATTTGTTGTAGGTGCTAGTGACCCACTCTGGAGGACGCGTGATGGACTTGCCGGACTTCGTTTGTGTCTTTCAGGCGGGTGGAAACAACTGGTGGGTGGAAGCCACTGGTGTGAAGCTGCTTCTGGTTCCAGGTGGTGGAGGTTCCGGTGTGGTGCTTCAGGTGTGCGTTCGTGTGCGTTCCGGGATGGTTGAAACTTGATTGGTGCTGCAGTTGGGGATGGGATGGTGATCCCCAGAAGCACTGCAGGATTGCATCGATCCGGAGCCGATACCTCTTGGCTACGAGAAGAACGAGTTCAACGACACTGAGGACCCAGCTGACCACTCGCATTGGTTGAAGATGGTTGAAGTATACCGTAGAGTAACATAGTAGGTCAGTACCTCGCTTAGGCCTACGTCACAGATACATGGTTATATGTGCAATAGAAAGATATAACATATATCATCATATATCGGTATATCCGAACATGATTTCGACCTCACCCCAGTCCCCAGTTCCCAATATGATTTAGGTCGTGTGTGCCTCTAGTTGTTCCCACTGTCCCCAGTCCCCAGTCCCCCCCTAAAGATAAACCCTGAAGGTGTGTAGCCAATGGACTCCAATATGAGTTAGGTCGTCTCCGATATGTTTTGGGTCGTCTCCTGTACCTCTAGTTGTCCCCACTTTCCCCAGTCCCCCTGTAAATATAGACCCTAAAGGTTTGAATCCACATCCAAGACTGCCGGCCAGAGGGTGATCCAAAAAGTCGTCCTAAGTCCTAAGTGGACCCTTCGGATGTTGTAGTGAAATCCGATATTTAATTGACCAATAGGGATCAGCTATAGTTGATGTTTTTGTTGATATTAGTTGATACTTAACGATACCAGTAAAACAAACGCTTGCACCAACTGGTTCCTTTCGCCCTCAGCCGCCACGAACTTGGAGCTAATGGCAGCCCTCATAGGTGGCTCTCAGCAATCCCTATCAAGAAAGAGATTCCGGGCTCGATATGCACAGATTGTCCACATCCACCAGGCAGATGTACTCAACACAGATTGTGGGATTATGGGGATCAACAGCAATGTACAGAATTTTGCATCAAATCGACATGGCTCTCAATCGTTGCATCTGGATGTGTCCCCATGTCTTTTGGGGGATTTCGGGGGAAAAACACCCAATTTATTCCAATTTTATGGCCATTTATACAGAATGGGGAACATGATGATTTACCGTGGGATTTTTGGGTGCTTCGAGTCACGCCATCTGCGGTTGCCATGGATGATGAGCCCAACCTCTTTGAACGTCTTGGCGGTCGGGAGACTGGGCTTTAAAGCAGTTGGGGGATACCGACTGTAGGGGATAACTATGGATATTATGTAACCAACTCTAATATTGATGGGATACCATGGGATATTTGACACCAACATAATGTGTGGGTTTGTCTGAAAATAGTGAATTTACATGGATTTATTATGATTTATTACTCCCTCCAATTCGTGGCAATTTCGGGAAAATGATGATACAGCACTGGATTCAGGATTTGGCTGTTGGATGAGGCGGATGCCCAACTCGAAGGCTCAGCCATAGCCTGTCCAAACTTGACGCAGGATTCCATAGACTTCCCTTGAAGGTTTGAACATTGCCTCAAAGAGGTGGATCTTACCCAGGCTGCTTTTTTTCGTACGTCGTACACCGAAACATGGAACATGACCAAGATCGGGGGCGACCAGGGGGGCTTTCCTTTTCGGTGATCTCAGGAGAATCTGCAAAGCATCGTTTTCCAGCTGTATGACCTGATGAGAGCCTCGTTGCATGTGGGAGAGTCACCAATCAATTGTGGGCTGTATTAAATATATACACACATGTTACTATGTATTTATGTGTAAGGTATATATATGTAAAAGTGTTTATGTATATATATATAATTATATATATATAGACTATAGAGGTATATAGTATATACTTATATCATAATATTCTATATATATATGCATTACATATATTCAACCAAGAATTAGCATGCAATGACAACTTCAGACATTTTCCAACATCTTCCAGGGCCTAGATTTTTACCTTGTTGAAGTGCAGTGCCGTTGTGGCAATTGGAAGAGGGTTTTAAATACTGCAAAAAGAGGAATTGTTGCTTTGAAGATCCCATCAGTTTCTGTCATATCCCAGCTCAGTTCTTGTTGGTTCAACTGCCCATTTTTAGCGGCTTAGTTTCTGTCATACCCCAGGAGTGGACAGCCTTTTGGGTCCGCAGTTCGACCGCTTTGCCAAGACGGATGCGACATTTCATCGCTTGAAGGTGAGGACAGTTGATTGGTTGGAATGGATCCTTGCCGGAAATGGCGATCTTTGAAGATGTTTTCTTGGCATTGTAACTACCAATTCTGAGACATGTCCGGGCGTTCACCGTATATACAAGAACGGAGCCGCACAGAACTGGGTGGGTCTTCCCAGAAATGACCCCACCTTCCAGTAATCCCAGCAATAGAAACTCACCTATACATACATGATTTCCGAAAACGGTAGTCAACATCATGCCATATATAGAATATATATATAATATATATACATACGGTATATATATATATATATGTATATATACATATGTGTATGTATATATATATAGACCTGCCATTTGGGGAATGGTTGAAATCCCACCCATTTCTAGTAAGACATTGCGGCTGTTGGGGCTGGTGAATGGCTTTGGGTTTACCACATGATTGTCAATCCGAGTTTCCACGGATTCATCGACATGTTGGAACGCCAGATTCTGGAACGGAATTTGATTCACATCAACCAAGGATGATTGGAGGTCCCACAAACTACGATGGACCTGACCTGTACGTTGCTCATGCGTCAATGCACATAGATGAGATGTCGCCTTGGCTGAATTCGGAGGATTTCCTGCCAATCTCTTGCTACCAGATTTTGTGGCCGAAAAGGATGGTAGAAGTCTGAAATCCCATAGATTTTCCAAAACCAATCCACTGATTTCTATTTGATGATCCTTGATAATGATATTGCGACAAATTTGACGCATATTTCCCGCCCTTTCTCAACGGCTGTAATGGATAGTGCCATCTTCAGCGGAGACTTTCCTAAAACCGGAGACCCCTTATCAACATTACTTTTCCCTGATCAAGAATGACCAGTCAGTTGGATGATATTAAGGGTCACCACTCAGAACCCCCCGGCCCGTTTTTCGCCATTTTCTGACATTAAAATGCCTTAGGTCCTACAGTCAGATGATGAATCTCTACCAGCAGGTGCTTGCTGAAATGGATACCATCGACGACCTCACCAAGGTACAACCGAAAGGTCACTGAAAATGTAGCGATTCCACCCAAAAATGCCAAAGAAAAGGATACATGTATACTCACCATATTATATATATACATACATACATACGTACGTACGAACGAACGAACGAACGTACATACATACATAGATACATCCCATACCATACCATACCGTACCATACATTACATTACATTACATAACATTACATTACATAACATACATTACATACATTGCATACATTGCATACATTACATACATTACACACATTACATACATTACATTACATTACATTGAATTGCATTACATTACATTACATTGCATTAATACATACATGCATGCATGCATGCATGCATACATACATACATCCATACATGCATACACGCATACATGCATACATGCATACATGCATACATGCATACATGCACACATGCACACATGCACACATGCACACATGCACACATGCACACATGCACACATGCACACATCCACACAAACATACAAACATACATACAAACATACAAACACACCTACCTACCTACCTACCTACATACATACATACGTACGTACGTACATACATACGTACGTACATACGTACATACATACATACATACATACATACATACATACATACATACATCCCATACATGCCATACATGCCATACATGCCATACATGCCATACATGCCATACATGCCATACATGCCATACATGCCATACATGCCATACATGCCATACATGCCATACATGCCATACATGCCATACATGCCATACATGCCATACATGCCATACATACCATACATGCCATACATGCCATACATGCCATACATGCCATACATACCATACATACCATACATACCATACATACCATACATACCGTACATACCGTACATACCGTACATACCGTACATTCCATACATTCCATACATTCCATACATTCCATACATTCCATGCATTCCATGCATTCCATCCATTCCATGCATTCCATGCATTCCATACATTACATACATTACATACATTACATACATTACATACATTACATACACTACATACATTACATACATTAAATACTTTAAATACATTACATACATTAAATACTTTAAATACATTACATACGTTACATTTTACATACATTACATACACTACATACACTACATACACTACATACACTACATACACTACATACACTACATACACTACATACACTACATACACTACATACACTACATACACTACATACACTACATACACTACATACACTACATACACTACATACACTACATACACTACATACACTACATACACTACATACACTACATACACTACATACATTACATACATTACATACATTACATACATTACATACATTACATACATTACATACATTACATACATTACATACATTGCATACATTGCATACATTGCATACATTACAGACATTACAGACATTGCAGACATTGCAGACATTACAGACATTACAGACATTACAGACATTACAGACATTACAGACATTACAGACATTACAGACATTACAGACATTACAGACATTACAGACATTACACACATTACACACATTGCAGACATTACATACATTGCATACATTGCATAGATTGCATACATTGCATCCATTGCATGCATTGCATACATTGCATGCATTGCATACATTGCATACATTGCATACATTGCATACATTGCATACATTGCATACATTGCATACATTGCATACATTACATACACATACATTACATACATTACATACATTACATAGATACATTACATAGATACATAGATACATAGATACATAGATACATAGATACATAGATACATAGATACATAGATACATAGATACATAGATACATAGATACATACATAGATACATAGATACATAGATACATAGATACATAGATACATAGATACATACATCCATACATACATGATTAATATGATAATGATGTTATATATACAGTATAATAAATCTATAATGACATATTAATATATATATATATACACATGTATATACATATATATATACACTGTATATATACATGTATTGATGAAATTAATCAATGATATTCTTGAATCAATTGACACCCAACCAGATCAGGAGGAGCTGCTTTCGGTGCTGGAAGCGCAAAGGGCACCAATTGTGGATCCGTTGAAAGATCCTCGTGATGAAACAACCCAGAGGTTGATCAATCCGGGACATGACCTGAAAAATGTTGGGGAAAACCATGGAACACCCCTCCAAGATGGACCATGGTTTAGAAAAATGATGTTCTCCGAAACATGGCAATACTTTGGGGTATACTCCCATGTTCAGGTACCAAGGCTGTGTGTATTTGTTCGATTTTAAGAAGGGCATAGGTCAGAATTTATGGCGGAGGGGACACCATTTTTGGTGTAGTTTGAGGGGTCAAAGAACATGTTTGGCTTAGGGAAAACCATAATTCTTGGTACTTTTCAGTATCAACAATGCCAAGTTTTGAAGTACAGTACCCAATTCGTAAGCTGTGCATATTTGCTGGCACTTTTTTTAATAGCTATTGGGACCACTCCCGATTGGCATAATATGTATGTATAATTTACGTATGTATATATATATATACATATAATATGTATTATACATATACTTGTCGCATGGCAACGGCTCCCCAGTTTTCACTCTTCCGCCTTTTCCTCACATTGTCCAAGTTATATATCAAACGACCCAAGGAATAGTGGATACTTTAGCACCTCCAGTGTCAACATCGTTTCCGTGGCTATTTTCACGTTCGCTTGTGATCCAAGATTGCAAGGAGTTTCAGAAAGATTTCGAAGAGCGAATGGAGAAGTTGCGCCAGGAGCGCGAGATACGGAAAAAGAACTTCCAGAAGCAAAAGGCCGAGGCTGCCCTGGCCAAAGATTTAGCCAAAAAGAAGCCGCTGAAAAAATCTGACGCTGGGCCTAAGGAGGCCACTGTCACAGAAAAAGTCACTCAAAAAGTCACCGAAGAAGTGTTTTTGGACCTGGTTCCGGCAGATGAAGCGCCTATGTCGCTTCCCTTGCCGCATCCCATTGTTCTGCTGTGCCCGCAGAAAGCGGTTCGGCAGGCCATATCTGTCTGAGTCGACCATCGGTGTGGAATGGCCCCACAGCTGATTTTCGTGGGATCAACGGGGTCAACTGGGTCAACTGCCATTTCACCCCCAACGAATTGGGTAGCTATGACATGACCCCGTCAAAATCGCTGGCATGGAATGGGCTTCATGAATTCCTTCATTGATACGACTTGTTGAACAATTCCTCCAAGACCTTCGGCTGGACTTGACTTGACGCCTTTGAAATCGAACTGTCCTTTTGGATGGCACGCTGTCTTCAAAAACGCTCAAATGTCTAATGCCAAACCCCAGATTTTCATTCGAGGTTTTGACCTTGGAACAAGTCCCGCCAAGAAGTCACACATTTCTGAATTGTTCCATGTGCAGTAGTTTCTCAACTGAAATAAACACCAGACCTTTTATAGATGCAGTGCAGCATTTTAGAAGTTGCAGATGCTTTGGGTGTGTCTCAGAAATCCAACAACCTGCATCAGCTTTTCGCCGTGAAAAACTGGACGTTTTTCTTCATATTCTTCAGATTTTTGAGACAGATACCCACAGGGTAGGACGGGTACAGACCCTCGGCCTTTCCTTGGTCGCAGTCACGGCAGTTTCCAATGAAAAACATGGGCGATTTCAGGCTTTTGGTTGGTGCGACCTCCCCAAAAGAAACCCCAACCTATTTTCATAGCTATGGCCTCTGCTGGATTGACCATGTTACTGGAGATTCCACAGAATATGCATAGACTGGCTGCTTGGACGTCATGGACGTCATCTTTTCCGGCAGCTGAATAGTCGGGCAATTTCCTAAGGTGGTTTGACCGCAAATGCTGTGATGCTCCTAGAGTCTGTTTGGATCAAAGAATGGGGAGAATTTGCTCTGGTCAACATCCAAGTCCCACAAAGTAGATGGATATTCAGCATGCCAGCCGGTGGATCCCTGCCTCAATCCACAGAGAAACTGTCCCATTTCTGGATGATTCACGTATTAGAATTGGAGGTTGTCCACAGAAAACTGTTGCGTACTCAGAGGGTAAGACAAATCCTTTGAATACCTCAAGTGTGCGTCAACCCCCACACTATTTTCAGTTTTCAGCATCTCCACTACGTTGGATCTCAATTTTTTTGATTGGTCAACACTCGGCAGGGATATACCCAGGGCTATGGGTCAAGATGGCAGGAGTGGAGCTGTTCCCGCGGCTTCGCGGGCAATGCCAGCAGTGAGTGCCGCTTGCGGGAGGACTGTGTGGGTGAGAGCCTCAAGGGGTCCAGAACTGGTGAGTTTGTGAAGATTATAGGGCCTTTTTGGGAATTTTATCAGAATTTATAGGGGAATTTATAGTGAATTCAAGGGACATATTTTGATACAACAATTCTGGGCGTTGACTATCCGGTGGTGAATGGAGGGAGTGGTTAGGAGCTGTGGATATTAATATTTGTCCTTTGAAAAATGGGGACCCAAGGAGCAACCTAGTTGAAGACAACAAACCTCTGCCGATTGGTTTAGCTCGTTGATTCGGTCCAACGGTCGCAACAGCTTCAACACGAAAAATCTGGGGGTTGTCTGGGGGCCATTTCTTGCAGGTTTGTAACGGTTTGTATGTTGTAATCCGAATTTTGATGGCCAACTTTTTGCCAACAGCTTCAACAGCTTCAACAGCTTCCCAGGCGAAGTCCTTCTCTCTGAGTGCATCCCCGCAGCTCGGGTTTTTATGGGGTGCGATTGATAACCCTTTGGTTGTTCTGTATGATAGATTTCTTATGGATGAGCAAAATCGTTCCTATCTAATCAATCTCATCAATCTAATCAATCTATCAATCTATCCATCAATCAATCTATCTGTCCATCCATCCTTCCATCCATCCATCCATCCATCGATCTATCTCTCTATCCATCTCTATATTTTATATTATATATAGTATATATGTATGTATGTATGAAATCGCAATCAAAATTCACGGTCAATTTGACTTTCCCTAAATCTAACCCTATCTTATTCAATTATATATATACATAAATAATCTGATTTAATCTTATCCATTCTTACTTGATCTTATCCCAATCTAATCCACCGATGTGTGTATCTATGTGTCTATGTATCTGTGTATCGATCTAATCAAACCATCCAAAGACTCTTTAATCTATCTATGTCATTTATCTCATCTATCCGACGCATCTAATCTATCTAATCTAATCTATCTAATCTACTAATCAGTCTTATCAATCAAATCTATCAAATCTATCAAGCCTGTCATATCTATCAAATCAATCAATCAACATCAACCAATCCTTACACTCAACCAGAAGTCCAAAACCATTTGGGTATGGGTCAATACCTATAGATACATTTTTAGTGGGATGAACATCCATTTACCAGCTATTTTGGGGTTCACTAGGTACCAGGGTTTTGACCCAACCCCATTTATCAACTGGGATGCAGATCCAAGCTTTGTAACACACAGTTCTTACACCATGAGGGTCCAGTGGATCCATGTTGCAGGATGAACATTTCTGGAGATTTTCTGATTTTCACCAGTCGAAACATAGGGATTTTCTCGCGAAACAGCCATAGAAACTGCGTGCTTTCCTTTGAAACAATCTTTTAAAGCTTAGAGATAGATTGCCCACATCCAGATCATCGGCTTCTTTTCAAAGCTCCATAATTTTCTGGCTGAATCAGGTAACCCAGACGTCACCATAAATGATGGTTGACAATACGAGGACCATCTCAGTAACCAACATTTCAGGTCGGTGATTTCTCATTTTTTGGGCCAGAATCGGCCCATGGGTAGCCGCTTTCACCTGTTGAATCTCCATTGTCATTTGCTGTTAGCGAATTCAGCCAGAGTATTTGCAGATATTTCAGAGGTGAACATCATTTCCAGAGTTCACCTAGTTGGAAATTCCAAAAAGGCATCTCATCATTTCCCTCTGAATATGGCCATAGGAATATCACTTTGATCTGCATCCCAGGAGTCCCCGAAGTGGCTGGTGATAAGCCATTAACTAAGTAACTAAGGGACGTCGCTAATAGAAGTTAGTAGCTGTTAACTATGTAAGCCATATTTAAGTGGCTTATAATATAGTTATAACTTATTTTAAACTATATATGTTCATTGACCACTTATGATTCGTGGGTATTTCCTATGGTGAAAACTTTCTCCCATATATTGGAAAACACCTATATAAGCAATATATACCCTCTGGCAAACTAACATAGATGTGAAAGAGCCACCATTTTGTAGATCATTTTCCCTCTCGAGGAAACCATGGGGTTTTCATCAGGTTTTTCCACATCTTTTTTATGCAAAAAAGGTGAGCGTTGACCCCTCGCAGAAACTTAGGTGAGCTTCTGCAGCCTCGGCGAATTGGATGCGTGTTTGATGGATGCCAGTGGATGCAGCGAACGATTGGAGCCCGGTGGCTCCTGCGAGTGCCATGGCGGATCCATGGGGAAAATCTGAGATCTTTGGGCACAGATCATAGCGGGGGAAGTTCACATGGACCCAAATGGTGCGAGTCATTGGAAATACTCTGTTTATTGGTTAATGGGTTATACTAACTTGGTTATACTAACTTGTGCTACTTGGTTTATCAGCGATTCTGGACTAGGCGATAGGGATACCCATTTACCAACCAGTACAACAGGATGGCATGTAATCATTTTTCTTTTTTTTGACTTATAAAATCCTGGAATTTAGCAGCCGCTTAGCTGTTATATATATATATATACACATACATATTCAAGATCCATTTGTTAGTTTTTTTTGCCTTTCAAACGCATTGTTTTGGTGACTATGTCAAAAGGTCATATGGGGATAGATCATGATGCTGACTCTTTGAAACCATGAACGTTCCTAGGAACAAACGCTGATATCAACGAACAAACATGGAACATGGGTGGTAAAAAATAAGGGAAACAACAAAACCACCGGCTTCGGTCGGGTTCTTTTGGTTTTAATCAACACTCCAAGTTTAGGGTACTTTTTTTGTTTCTCATGCCCACATTGGGTCAATCATTAGCTTGCAATGTCAACCCTGGATTTTCCCAGCGATTTATCAGTATTGCGGGATGACCCCCTAGAACCCCCACAGGATTACAGGTCATTGGTGATACATCAGGGATGGAACTGACCTAGTTACTAGATCTCTGTTGATAGTGGGGGTGATCCATGGAGAATCCGCCTCGAATTCACCAGTTGCTTTGGGAAAATGACAGCTTTTGGGCACGCCTTTTATGGGGAAAATGTTGAAGTGAATTGAGAATTCAGACTTTTTCTGAACCTGCAAAAGCTTAGGAAGAATGACGTGGATACTTGTTTGATAAAAAGATGAGGGATAGGCAGATTTTGCCCGTCAATGACATTTAGAAATTTAGAAGTCTTACCTGTGATCTGACTCATACTCCCATTGATTTCCTGGTTTCGAATCCAGTGGAAACGATATGCATTATACGCATTGGCTGAACATCAAAATCCCTTGTTAATCATTTCTTGATTTGCGTTTTATGAACATACCTGGTTTATTAGGGGTACCCTTTTTGTAATCAGCTCCATGGCTACCTTCATTTCTAGGGAATGTTCAATATTTCCAATGATTTTCCCATGATTTTCCCATGATTTTGAAACATGGGATGACCCATTTATGCTTATATTCCCATATTTTCCCATATGATTTTAGATTTTACTCATTCTGGGAAGGCCTATCAACCCGCTCGAACATCGCCCCTGGGAGCCAGGCTTCGATGTCCCGAGCCGACGCAAGGCAGGACCCAGTCGTACTAAGTCATGGTTCATGACGACTGGATGATTTTGGGTACCCCCATGACTTAGGAAACCTCCATATACATACATGACATATGTATTTCTCTCTGTATATATATATATATATAAATTCGTAGTAAGCAGATAGAACACTAATATGTTTTTCCACCATTCTAGTTGACTTTACATACCTTTCCATTTTTTTTTTGGGATTACTATATATACCTAAGTCATGGGAGTACCTCCATCTCAGGCACCTCAGGCTCTGCATCCTGTCCACAGCTGAACACCGAAGCGGGTGCTCCAGCCATGCGCCTTGGGCGTGGAATGCAGGTGAACGCAGGTGAACGCAGGTGAACGCAGGTGAACGCAGGGGAACGCAGACCCACAGGCATAGAGCATAGCATATGCAGCATTATTGATGAAATTCTGGTATTTGATATGGTATTTTAACTATTTGACTATGAAAGAACCATAACCGCAGTTTGGTTGGTGGATACCACTATTTGTTGTAAACAGATATGGTATTTTGAAAAAAAATGCAATAGCAGTTTACCTATAACAATGGCCTTATGTATATATATATATATATGTATACACCCTTGAAACAATGTGTTTTACTCATAAAACATGGTGTTCTACTCAAAGCAGGTTGTAAATATTAAAGATACCTTGGATGGTGCATTTTCGGCCAAATATTTTGATGCCGCACCCAGGCTACGAGGGCCCCGATTTTATCTAAACTTGGTTATATAATCTTGGTTGGGAAGGTCAACAGGTTTAATTCTATATGGGGAAATATATCAAGAGTCACGACAACAACTTTTTGCAGTGTCTCTGACTAGCGGTGTGGTAAATTCACGACCTTCTGACAACCTAATGAATCTATCGGTTAAGAGATTCATTTCTCCATTGCCACATTATACTACTAGAGGATAATAAACTCCATGCTTTGAGGTTTTTTTGAACAACACATATAATTACAGTTAAATCGGGTACTATTGGGTCTACATGCACTATTTCAATTGTAACATCCTCTTCCAGAGGTTTTTGTTCGACGCCATCGGTTTCAAGAAGATTGAGCACTTGTCAAGAAAACCAGTCAGTGTCATCAACCCAAAGGGGGGAAAACGAGGGGACATATTGTGGTTTACCAAGAATGATAGGTATTTAATCAACAACCATGTGGATATAGCCATCAACGATTGGGATTTGACCAACAAGACCACGGAACTACCGCTTCTTAACCTGTGAGTTCTGGATCGACATCCATTAGTTCATAGGGAAATCCCAAGAGGGGGACGATGCCCATTGGCTAAAATACACGTACCACCAGAATTGTGAATCAGCTGCACGAGAATTAGCGGAGGTTTCATGTGAGTCAAAATCTCCTGACCTCCCACGCGGAACACGAACAATTTTGTGGATCAATAGGTACCATTTTTTTTTTACCTATACAGTACATAGCCTCACTACCAGCTTGGATGATGGAAAAAAATAGAGGAAGTATTTCCGGGTAAAATCGAGAAAAACACATGGTTTCTTGTAGATTTTCCTTTAAATCAATTCATTGACGGTTACCTCGTTGAGGATCCAGCCCCCAAGCTGCGAGTCGCGATGCGACTACTTGGAGAACGTTGAGGTAGGTCATGGGATTGTCCATGGGAGAACAGTTTGTCCAGCCATTGGCCAATGTATGGGTGAACCCCAATCCACTAAATAACAGGGGGTAATAACATAATGAAAATAATATCCCTATTAAACTGGCCATTTGGTGTAACCCATTTTCAGGCAACCCCGAGCTCATACGATACTGGGTGTACACAAAAATCGGATTTGCTTGAAAAAAAACCTGGGCTGACCCGTCGTCTCTGACAGGCGCCCTTCAACTTTGTGAGCCTTGCCCCTTTGAACCTCACAGGCGTGGCCGAAGTGCTTGCTTGCAGTTTTGTAGGATTTCTGAAGTGAGGAACGGTCAATATTCAAGGGCCTACGCTTAGGATTCACCATCCATTTCTTTTTTTGGCTTCCCAACCTTTTATTTTGTGATTTAAAACTCATTTCCATCAAGTTCCTTGGAGCACCTCTGGGCATACCAAGTTTGACCCATCCACATGGCTGCCCTGTCGAGGTTGGGCTTGTGCTGAAGGTTATGGCGGGAACAAGTCCATCACCTGCCACATTGATAGGTGCGGGGAGTGGGAGGTAATTTTGAGGCTTCATGTCAATGAGCAACATGACTGGTGGGAATTCACCACTTTTTCTAGTGAAGTCAGGTTTTTCTGATTCTCCCGCAAAGTCGGGGTTTCTCGGTCGAAAGGTCCACCATTGGCGACGCCTTTCCTATGTTGACATGGAAGGGCCCCGTGGTGGTTCCCTTCCTGTTCCAATACGTTTAAGGCACGCAGTATGGCATTTATCATCCTACCTTGGTAAAAGGGGTCATCCAACATCATCAGTGGCTATTCTCACCTGTTTCCCGACGCAACACCCTTCAGCCAGCTGCACACAGGGACCGCGATTGCAACGCAAGCTACGTTTTCGAGGGTTACTCGGTGCCATCAACATGGGATCCAATGGAGACGTCCAAGGAATGGGTGGATGGCTTGATTGGGCCGCAAGAATGCATCTCCAACTGACATCACTGATATTGGAATTTGATGGAATTTGCTATTGCTCAGGTTGCAAGCCACTCACCAAATGCGCTGGCTTGGAGAATATTGATCCCTGCAGGCCAGGAAACTGAGGGTGTGTGGGCGCTTGCTAAGGATGGTGATTCACCTCGGAGATATATTCCATGGGTTTTTCCACAGACAACATTCCACAAGATTTCCTATCACTATCCCTTTGTTATCCCATGGTTATTCCATAGTTATCCCATTATTGTCCCATGAACATGGTTTTGTGGGCAATATGTATCATTATGATCACTATAACAACTATGATAATGATAATCAATGTTATTATGACCATGACCAGATTGGATGGTTTTTCGATTGGAAGATAGCACCCTGCAGAAAGATATGAACAGACAGACACGTAAACAGCTACTGAAATAATGATACATGACAATACATGAAATCCATTTCTATCTTGTTCGGGTTTCCTATCCATTTCCTCCGCTGGGTTCCAGGTACATCCACAGCTGCATCCCCGGTCTGCTGCCCGGGGACCGCTGCGAAATCCGCTGCTTGCCGCCCCAATTCCTGGGTGACCCCGTGGTGGCGCAGTGCAGCACCGAAAACACGGAGACCTGGCGAGGGGGGCATCGGCATCGCCTGGTGATCGGTGGGAAGTCCCCTATCTGAGTGGCTTTTCCCAAATGGCTATGGATCAATACCTATTTTCATACCATTTTTAGGGTGATGAACATCCATAAATCCCAGCTATTTTGAGGTTCACCAGGGGTACAAGGTTTTGACCCATCCCCAAATAGAAATGGGTGAACTACGGTTATTGACCACTAGGGCTGAGCCTCCAAGTACAAAGATTCGCCCTTATAAACGTGTTTGTTGGTAGTCAAACAGATATAGATTTTGTGGTTTCAGATATGTTTCCTTTTCAAGCCTATGGCTGGGATGATCATCCGAATATATACCAACTGGCATTTTGTATTTTTTAGGGGGGTCGAAAGCACCAACTAGCTATGAAACATATTCTGTATATCCATATATATATATATACATGTATAATAATAAATATATATATGTATACATATGATATGATATGATATGATATAATATTATATTATGACATAACATAAAATGATGTAAGCTAATACAATGCAATACAATATAAAATCATGCAATACAATACCATATAATATAATAAAAGACAATACAAGTTATATCATATCATATCATATTATATCATATCATATTATATTATATTTATATTATAGCATATTATATCATATGATATTACATTATATTATATCATATTATATTCCATTGTATTTTATTATGTTATATTATGTTACATTCTATACAGTCATATATATATATATATAATGGTGGCTTTTTATACCTCCTTTTTGCCCCAAGGATTCCTCGAAGCCTCCGCAGTTTGCGGCGTGGCCCAGCTGCGCTCCGCAATGCGAGGAACCGGAAGTGGCACCAACAGGTGGGCGGCCGAATTCATGGGGATATACATAGTGGGATACAACTATGTAAATATCTACGTATATATCTGCATATATATATATATATCATATGTATATCATATATATATATCATGTATATATATATATATTATGTATATATATATATCTACATATATGATATATATATATATTTATCTACATATATGATATACATATATATTTATATCTACATATATGAGATATATAAATACATATATATATGATATTATATATATATATATATGTATATATGATATATATTTATATATATCTACACACATATATATATATATATATCATTATTTTATTATGGTTATTATTCTGTATTGATGGTTGTACCTCTCCCAACCAATAAACTACTTGGAGGATTGATGGGGTTGGCCCCTTAGAAATTGGATCATCTGCTGAATGGGGACTGAGTAACCAGAGTTATTAAATAATCTGGGTAAATTGTAACGACCTCACTGGAAATCATCCCCAAATGGCCTTAATTCAGGTTAGTGAAATATTATCATTTACCCAGAATAATTATCGACCTACTAAGTGGGATGATCCTCCAAGTAAGGCTTTAAAAACCATCCGAACCCCGAAAGCAAGACACTTGGATGGTTCAATAGGTTCAATAGGTTTGAAATGGTGCGTTGCTGGAATAGATTGACGTATAGCGTATATCCTTATAAATTATACAACCAAACTGGGATGGTGAATGATGGTTCAATAGGTTTAATAATCCCCAAAATCAGAAGGTGCACTAATTCTTCAAGAGCAGTTTAGCAAGGGTGGGGTACAAAAAATCTTTGCACAGGCGTCTCAATGGCTCTGGCTTCAGACCACCCCAAAATTGGAGGCTTTGACATATATCTTCTGGGAACAAATCAATTTGGCAATGGACATAAATCATTGGCAAAATTGACATATATCTTCTGGGAATACCCTCTGGTGAACTAACATAGCAATGGAAAATCACCAGTCTTAATGGGAAAATCCACTATAAATAGCCATTTTCCATTGCTATGTTAGTTCACCAGAGGGTAAGCATGGCAATGGAAAATCCTCCATTCAGTTCGATGATTTTTTCATTGAAATTGGGGATTTCCCGTTGCCATTGCGAGGCTACAAGAAATTGGCAAATCAGTGGCAATTGGCGGTTTTTGAGACATGGATTAGAAAGGTCAACATCCATAATCCCAATATTTTTGGATGAACATCCATTTGCCAGCTATTTTCGGGCTCACTAGCATGATTTTGACCCACAGCCATATTTACAGCAGCTGTCGCGATGACTGGCCCCCAGGTGTTCATGATGTAGATGGGTGATTCAGACATCAGAACCACCCATCTTGGTTATCTTTCATATTTACAGTAACAAATACCCTCTGGTAAACTAACATAACCATGGAACATCACAATTTTTCATGGGAAATTTCACTATTTCTATGGTAATTTTCCATCGTTATGTTAAATTACCAGAGGGTAGTTGTTGGGTACCGTCAAACACAGCTGGAAATGCCACATCCTGATCTTAGAAGGGCAAACCATCTCCGGTGAATTTTCCAGCTCGCCAGGTTTCTTTGGTAGCCTATCTTGATGGTCGAATATGCCTAGCCAGCAAACCTATTCATATCTCAAGCATATTTTGGATGATCCACCAAGATTTGAAGATGTCTAGCAACATTTCTTAGATATTGTATGCTTAAAGATCTCTAACTCTCCAACTTTGATGCTCTTTGAGCAAGGAATTTGAGGGTGATCGCAAACGATCGTAAGTCCCCATAGTAAAAAGGTGGGTGTCATCCCATGGGTGAACTACTATGGTTATTGACCACACTTCCAAGTACCGTGGGGTGATCTTCCAAGTACATCCAAGTACCGGGTCTCGGTTGTTCCAGGTTACCACCTGAATCGGAGCGCGGACGTCGAATGGACCTGTGCGGAGGGTCACTTGGCGCCATTTCCCAGAAGAGATTGTCATCCAAAAAAATTGAACCATATTTTCCATATGGGTGAATACATATATATATATAATATATTATATATAATATATAAATAATATATAATATATATAATATAATATATATAATATAATATATATATATATATATATAATATATATAATATAATATATATATAATATAATATATATAATATAATATATATAATATAATATATATATAATATAATATAATATAATATAATATATATAATATAATATAATATAATTTAATATGATATAATATAATATATGATATATATATAATATAATATAGATAGATATATAATGTATGTATGTATGTATGTATGTATGTAATGTAATGTAATGTAATGTAATGTAATGTAATGTAATGTAATGTAATGTATGTATGTATGTATGTATGTATGTATATATATAATATAGATAGATATATAATGTATGTATATATGTATATGTATACATGTAGATACCCCTTAATGGAGGAATCCTCTTCATGCATATACCATATTTTGAGCATGGCACAGATGTTTTATATGGCCTCACCAGGATGTCACCAGAAATCATAAGGGGCACAAGGCACATACTGCCGGATGCGGTGTATTTTCGGTTTGGAATTATTGCATGGGATGTACCCAGATCCTGTAACAAGTGGTATTGATTGAGTAAATGTCGTAAAGGTAGATATCAAATTGCCACTCACCAACTATATTATAATTAGTGGTATGAATTATGGTGTACATTCAAATCGACAATTATTTACCAATAAAATAGGCTGGATTTCAGGTTTTTGACACCGGAGGATTTTGCGGATACTTTTGACACCAAGGTTACTTGGGCTCTGCGGTCCCCTTCTGTGGCCCTGACTACCAGTGTATTTTGCGTCCGAATCCCAGCTGGCTTCCGGCATTTTTGCAATGAGGTGTTCGTCATGAAAGAAGGAAACTGAAGCGTGGATATCTTCAGATATCATATTCGGATTTTGCATTGATATGACATATTAGCTGTTTACTAATTATTAATATCATGATTGTACAATGTAGGAGACCAAAACATGCCAATGAGTAACCATTAACCATTACTATTACAACCATTCTATAACAAAACATATATGCCTCGATCTTTTGGAAACGCCTGGAAACTGGTGGCTACAACTGGGGCCTCTCCGAATCTAAGGCTTTAGCCTTTCGGGCTGTGTTCCCAAGGCGCAGCTTAGAACTGGGTTCTTTGGGTCACGGGTGACCCTGGGTCAGCTGGTACCACTCTGGATGATCGTGTCGATAGGTTCCCTGCGTGGCGCCAAGTGTACCTGCTGGATGCCTCTATGTGTGGGATCTCAGACCCAAAACGCAGCCCAAGTGACTGGAGATAGGAACGGCACAAAGTGGGGACCCGAATTTGACGTTTCCTCTTGATCTCGATTCCTGGAAAATATCGGCTACTCCCAAAGCTCATGGTTTAGGAGTTTAGGACCTAATTTTCCTGATAAAAATGGGAATTCAAGGGGGGAAACGTTCCATTCTCAGACCTCCAACGCGCCAACAGCGTCGTGCCCAGGACGGATCTGGCTGTCCCTCGGAGATTTTGCCCGGCGAAAGCTGTGAGATCCAGTGCAAGAGCCCGTGCTCCCGGGTCAAGGGAGAACAAATGGTGCTCCTTGGTGCGGGGTAAAGTAGGGAAATGCAGGTGAATATCAGGAACAGGAATATATATATATATAAATATAATGTATATGTGTATCTATCTATCTATATATATATATGTATATATATATAAGATTATACATCATGATATACATGTCTCTGATCACGGCTTCAGAGGGATTTCGGGCATTCTCAAGAACGGTGTTTTGGAGATTTATGGTTTTTACAGTGTGTGGGACAACGAAGATACAAGAAAACATGTAGTAACAAGAGCACAAGTAAAAGCATCTATCTATCTATCTATCTGTCTGTCTGTCTATCTATCTATCTACCTATCTATCTATCTATCTACCTATCTACCTATCTACCTATCTACCTAACCTACCTAACCTACCTAACCTACCTAACCTACCTAACCCACCTAACCCACCTAACCCACCTAACCTACCTAACCTACCTAACCTACCTAACCTACCTATCCTACCTATCCTACCTATCCTACCTATCCTACCTACCTACCTACCTATCTATCCATCCATCCATCTATCTATCTATCTATCTATCTATCTATCTATCTATCTATCTATCTATCTATCTCTCTGTCTCTATCTCTCTATCTATCTATCTAACTAACTATCTATCTATCTACCTATCTAATCTAATCTAATCTAGTCTAATCTAATCTAAATCTAATCTAAATCTAATCTAATCTAATCTAATCTAATCTAATCTAATCTATCTATCTATCTATCTATCTATCTATCTATCTATCTATTGCAGTATATATAAATATATATATATATATATTATATGCATAGTCATACATTCTAAGCCAGTTGCAAATGGGATTTCCCATGAGGGTTTTGTGTCAAACTGGGGGAACCCCCCTTGGCCCGGCCAGGTACGTGGGCAACGCCACCAGCGCAAGCTGTTCGGGGCCTCAGAGGGCGTCCCCACTGAGATGGTCAGAAAGCATCACTTTGCCACCAAAAATTAGATGATGTCACAAACAGCACATCAAAGTGGTCCTTGGGGCATTTTTGCCCACTTGGCAAGTTGATAGGGCTGTCCTGCTTCCTTGCTTTAAGATCCCAATAAACTCTAGTCGGCAAACAAAACCGCAAAGATGGGTAATTAGTCCAGCCTCCGATTCTTTTTCAGGGCCAACAAACCGAAATGGGTAATGGCCAATACTACGCGGAACATTTTCATATTTCTTTTGCGTTTGTCCATGTTGTCAAAAGAGAGGGTTCTATTTCAGACAAACCCAAATCCAGGTTTTCCATGGTTTCCCTAGGGTTTTTCCCAAGTCCCAGGTTTTTCCCAGATTTTTCCAAGGTTTTTACACCAGCATTTTCCCCAGGTGATGCCGACAACACCGTGGTGAACGCCGCCTCGATCTACGAGCTGCCCGAGTGCCTGCTGGATTGCGGGGAGGTGCCTGTGGACCTCACCGAGGCGGGTGGAGCATGGTTTTTTTCCAACAACTTTTTGGATGTTTACCCAAGGGTATATGGGTAAAACTTGATATTTCTGTTATTTTGGGCATTCATGTTATAAATATATTATGGACACATATGGAAATCAATGGGTGGGTAAACTCTAAGGTTTCTGTTACTTGGGTATTTATAGTATACATATATTATGGACACAAACAGGAAACGAACGGATTCTGAATGGATATACCCATTGGTAAGATGAATGTAATGGACATGTTGAGGAACAATTTATAATGGTTACAATGGCAATTTTCAATGGTAGGAACTACGAATTTCATTAAAACTATCACCCTTACCATTAATGATAATGGTCATAGTCATGCCAATTATTAAGATAGTGGCAATCAATTTTTAGTGGAAACAATGACAACACCATCATTAGCATGGTACTAACAATTATTCAAAAACGTGATTTACACGATGATAATAACATTGTCAATTAACCATCTTATGATATGGTTAAATAGTGCTTTTGTTATTTTTTTAAGCATAATTATCACCATTTGTCTATAATTTTGTCATTATCATTATCATCAATAACTTTGTCATCATCATGATAATATTAATATCATAACACAAATACTATCATAACACAAATACTTGCATAATATCTATACAGATATATTCTGTATTGTTTCTGTCGTTACCATGTTCTTTTCACTATGACAAAAGATGGTTTGTTATATGATAGAGCGGGAAGATGTTTGTTCCCATGAATAATGTGGAGAGTGACGAACAGACCATGGGAACTGAACAAACAGAAGAAGAATCAAGCAACGAACTATGGGAGTACAAGCAACAACGGCAGGCCGACGACACATCGTACTTGCTTTATTGGGGATCAAACTGCCATGCACAGGGATTGATTATGATGGATGTGTGAAGTCCTTGCTCAAAATCGGCACAAAGGTGTTTGATGTAGTTAATGAGTAATGAGGTAAACCCACTAATACACCATCTCCATTTGCAGTTTGTTATTTGGGTTTACCACATTTTGAGGGTTTTGGTCTTGGCTCATCCGCTTTGGAAATGGCACAACGTATGTGGATGTTCCAGGTACACAGAGATATCAGCTTGGTGTAGCATGAATGGAACCACAATAGGTCCGCATATCTTTAGGGCTCCGTCCACTCTTTCTATAGAGTACAGTGTGAAGAAAGGTGCAGGCGCTGGCAAATCCGTTGCCAGGCCTACGTGCGCACTCAAAATGGAGATTGGGAGTGCAACAGCAGTGGATATTTGGAAACCCCAGCATCATGGCGGACCAAGCGTTTTTTTTTTTTGTATGGCGGAGATTCACTTCATGCAGGTGGCTGAAAACATCGTCATCATCATCAGCGTCGTCATCGTCATCGTCATCATCATCGTCATCATCATCGTCATCGTCATCATCATCATCATCATCATCATCATCATCATCATCATCATCATGATCATCATCGTCATCATCGTCATCATCGTCATCGCCATAGTCATCATCATCATCGTCGTCGTCGTCGTCGTCGTCGTCATCGTTTCGTCATCGTCGTCATCGTCATCGTTGTCGTCATCGCTGTCGTCATCATCATCATCAGCGTCATCATTATCATCATCAGAATCACCATCATCATGGTGATTATCATATATCATAATCATGTAGAATAATTTTTGATTCTAAGCATAATAACAGCAATGACAAGAATGGTAACAACATGCAACAATGATCATCATGATCCATCTCCCGCAGTCCCTTCCACTCAGTCCTGGTCCAAGGTAACGCTCTGCGAGTTGGAGGACGGCTGCACGGCAGTCCTGCGCATCAGCGGGTGTTTGCCCATCGTGTCGTGCCTGTCGCCCGACCCCAGGCGAGGTACTCCAGAAGTTCCCAAGGAACCTGGGAGACGGGCAGTTTCCCATGGATCTTGCATGATATTTCGATATTTTGTCAATTATGGCTTTGAAAACTGTACTTCATTCTACTTAATTGAGATATGTACAATATATTTACCGTTATTTGCCAGTTGCTAACTGGGGATGAGTGTGGGATCGTTGGCGGTCCATCCCCATCGCTAGGGCCTTTGATGTGTGCCAGTACAACTTCCAAGGCACGTCCTGGCAGGGTTGACCGTTGACCACCTCGCAAAAACAATTTTTACAGAGAGGAACATGAGGAAATATGTGGAAACTGATACATTTTTGTTGCCCGTTTTTTACTGTCAACATTTTGTTCGGGTCTTGTTGCAGCATTTTGCATGCAGAACTTCAGTGACATATTGTTTCTGCGAATCCCAAAGCAGCGGCAGGCGCCACTTTCTTGAGCCATAGCAGCAGTGCACCAATGGTTTGATGCGTGTCATCCTTGCGCAGGGGGCAAATGCCCAACAAGCGAAACTTGTTACACTTCTCGATTTGAAAAGGAATGCAGTAGGGTAGTTAGAGCTTACCGCACTACCACACTCCCCCTATGACCTTAGGTCATATCCAAAACTATCAGCTATTGGCAGCCCCTTTGGCTGCAGATTCCAAAAAAAGGGATTCTTGGCATCTTCTCACATGTCTTCTTCGTTTTCAGGTCGGCTGGGATCAGGTTGCTCGTCCACAGCCTGATCCGTCACCAGCGAGAAATCACTCGCTACCTCGTTCCGATTCCACCTCCTCTTCGTAGGTTGACTCAGCATCCACTGTGGCACCATGCAGAAAGTCTCACAGATCTGGGTCACTCACCGCAGACCGGGCAGCACGAAGGTATCGGCTCCTTCGTTGGATTGGAGTCTCAACAGGTCGATCGGTTGAAGCAGAGGTTGTAGAAGTATTGGATGTGGTTGATCCTTTGGCAGCGCACATCGCGCCTCAAATGGGCCGAGCTCCCACAGTTGAAATATCGACCCTTCATGTCATTTGTCTCATGCAAAAAGGAGCAAGACGAGCCACGCTTGCATCACTCCGTAGTCTTCCAAAACTTGCAGGAAGATTTCGTTGAGCTTCCTGTCGTAGCTCCAGTAGTTGCAGCGCCAGGTAGATCAGCTCCAGACACCGCCTTCAAAGCTGTAGTTGTAGTTCCACCCGCCGTGGTGGTCTTGAGGCCAACGCCAAGACTCAACTCCTCAGCTTCAGATTGGAGGTACTACCAGGTACTCCACATACTGCTCGATTAACAGTGCCACCGGACGTACATCCACCGCCAACTCCTGTCTCACTGATGCCACCCGGTAGGACAGCTGAGTTCCACCAAGCTTCCCAAGGGCGCCAGCAAAGCGATGTAGCACACCACCCAAGATGATTGGGTCAGGCAGGGCGAGGTTCAGCTCAATTGATCGGCTCATCAGCCTCCTCCAAGGTCGAAGTCCAGCTAGTAGATCTGATGCACTACCAGTCACCTTGGGCTCCGTCAGCTGTCGCAGGATGCTCACTCGTTCTGAGCTTCCACCCGGCTGGAAAATTGTCCACAACCGGTACATGATGCCGGTCGCTGTCATGGTGCGACTGGCAATGAGGTCCTGCTTGATGATCTCAGGGATGCATTTCAAAAGCATTGGAACCACACGCTGCTCCAAACGTAGATGATCTTCAGAACGTTGAACTTGTACAGGACGTATAGACGGATTCGTTCAAGTGGTGTTGAAGTCAACCATCGATCATACAATGCGGCAGCTTCTCGCATGATCTCAAGCCACCATCCATGTGCCGAACCGGCCATATCACCAATCATCAGCGTAGCAACCGTGATCCAATCTCCAAACTGTAAAGTCGACTGCTCAGAGCCATGTTGAGGAAGAAGTGGAAGATCAGAGCTTCGCAAAGGTTCAGCCGCTGCTTGAAGACCTGGCTGTTGATCAGGTCCACAAGACCAGGAGGCCTCACAAGCGAAGCAGCCACTGAAGTACCACCTGCGCCATGACCTTCTCCTCCAAGTCCACCTTGATGTTGAGCTTGACCCATCACTCCAGCAGTTGAACCCTGAGGATTCAGCATCGATCCATGACCTCCAAAACTTTGAGGCTGTCCATAGGCCACCCATTCCGAAGCTGGAATTCCAGGCGAGTTCCCAGTGGCCCGAGACGTTGGCTGTCCCCATCTCACACCCATTCCTTGATCAAATGCTGCAGCTCCACGTTGATGTACACCATTTCCAGCGTCAACCATTGAAGCTTGATGAGGTACTGCATGTTGAAGAGAACCAGGCTGACCACTGCTGACAGCCAGTTGATGCGGCAAAGTTGAAGGTTTCTGCAACGATGGCACTGGGGGAACCATCCCACCTGAGGGCTCATGGCCACTTGACGCCGTGTGATAAGACCGAACTTCTCCTTCACTCTCAGCTTATTGGCCTCCCGCACGAAGTTCTCCTCAGCCTCGCGCACAATGCGAGGTCTCAGCTCCTCCAACTTCTCCGGTGAAGGCTGCGATAGAACACCATCACCAAGGGCCTGCTCAAGGCCAGCACCCAAAGCAGATATAGGGGCCTGCACAGCGCCCACTTGTTGACAAACTCCTCCAACAGCCTGCGCAGGGCCAGAACTGCATGAACAGTTTTGCACAGGACCTGAGCCGCAGATAGGGGCCCCACTTGTTGATAAACTCCTCCAAGGGCCTGCGCATGGCCAGAGTTGAGAGAAGAGGCCTGCACAGGGCCAGAAGCGCGAGCCACATCACCAAGTTGAGGACCATAAGGCTCTGCAAGGGCCTGCGCAGGGCCATGGGTCACCGGTTGACCCGTCAGTGGAGGAAGTCCTTGGGGACGAGATACATCTGCACACTGTTCCACAATCGCTGCTCGCCTCACCTCTGGACTCCAAAAAGCGTTGACCCCTTCACGGTGTCCCGAACCTTGCCGTCGGTCAACACCATCAGGTAGTTCCATTTCAAGCACTGTAGAGCGTGAGCTATCTCCCACGTCCATCCTATGCATAGGCACTTCCCCATGCAGCTGCATCACACCAGCCGAGGTCCAGCACCAGCCTCCACTGTCCCCAAGTTGTGGAACAACGGAGCCAAAAGTCCATCTGGAGCAGGTAGATCTTGACCAAATTGAAAGGGCGGAAGGGCTCTATCATCAGCTCCATTCCCCGTAGCCACCGCCACTTCTCCATGATGCCGACCACCATCCGAAGCTTGAGCACCACCTTCAGTTACCATCAGTCGCCTCACTTCTGGACATGAGCTGGCTGCTCCTTGGCCCTTCTTCCATTTCAATCAGCCGATCCAGCCTCTCGTCTGCAGTTTCATCTTGATGCTGCCTGCGCCGTCGCTCCATTGCCACAGCGCAGCAACACCAAACCACGGAGTAGACCCAAGCTTGGCGCTTGGGCTCAAAACCTGCGAATCCCAAAGCAGCGGCAGGCGCCACTTTTCTTGAGCCATAGCAACAGTGCACCAATGGTTTGATGCGTATCATCCTTGCGCAGGGGGCAAATGCCCAACAAGCGAAACTTGTTACACTTCGCGATTTGAAAAGGAATGCAGTAGGGTAGTTAGAGCTTCCCGCGCTACCACAGTTTCAATTCATTCTAAACTCTGGTCTCATGACCTGAAGGGGCTTTGTCATGTGTGCAGAAATATCATGTTCCCAACCTGGCTAAGACTAGCTGTGGCCAGGGTTCCACAGTAAAAAACACCACCGCCAGGCTGTGACAGTCTGGCGCCGGGCAGCAGTTGCAATGTGAGCTGCCAGCCGCCCTACATCGGTCCGGAAACCTGGGACTGAGACAACGCATGGGTTCAGAGGACATTTGTTGTGTTCAAACCCCCAATCTTATGGTGGTTGCAATAGGGTAACCCCAATTTGATGGCGGTGTTTGTAGGTTCTTAGTTATCAAACTGGTGGTTTAACCAAGAAAGGAAAGGGTTTATTGGTGAAAACCCAATTTGATGGTGGGGTTCATGGGGGGATTCACCTCGAAACCGTGGGGATGTTCGATTTCGGTGTTTCTAGAGGCTACCCCCAGACTTGGATATCGAAGATGATTGACATTTCTGGTTCCCTGGGTCTTGGACTTTGATCCAGACCATGTAGCTTTCATGATACAAGATGATGTGGATAAAGCTGGGAAACTGCAAGTCATGACATAAAGGCATCACAGACGGATAGAAACCGCATGACAACTTTTTGGCTGTACGAAACAACATGGGCGAAGCGCCAATGAAGTCAATGGTCTCGAGTGTTTTTGGTGGTAGTACGTGGCATCTAGTCTACTTCCGACACATCCTGGTTGGTGGTTTCAATTGCTTTGCATTTTCAAACATAGAAAGGGGATGATGATCCCCAATGACTATCAATGACAGGCATATTTTTCAGATGGGTGGCTTAACCACCAGCATCCCATTTTTGTCCGCGGCACCAGGTGGAATGACCACTGCAACCTGCCCTGATTTGTTCCTCGGTTTTCCTGGTCAGCTTGTGACGATGAAGTTGTTTAGCTTTTGTATATTGATCATTATTGATCTATATAAGTGATATTTCTCTATTGATGCCGTTGAGGGGATTTCGGCAAAATAGGAAGTTGGGGGCAGCATGGAAAAAACTTAAAAAACAGAATGCATGGAATTTAGCATTTTCAAAACTCAAACTCAAAATAACAGTTTTTTTGGGGTATAAAAACCATTTTACACCAAATAATGTTCAGAAAGATCAAAGCACCAAATGGTGTTGCTGACAGCATTTTTTTTGCCACCTTCTCTAGCCAGTGGATGGCACAATTTGGATAAATTTGGGCCAATGTGCAGACCATTTGTGGCAATGATGGAGTATGAGTCGGCGTGCTTTCTTTTTTCAAGTTTTGATTTTGGTAATCTCAAAAATGCATATTTATTGTGACCTCAGTGCATTTTTCATCATTGCTCCCTTCAAACCTCAAAAATATACGAAACTTATGGACGTCTCCTAAATTAGTAATTTGACCTACAACCAAATTCACTATATAGTTTGATTAAATTTAGGGCAAGCATTTACTAGTGCATTTTTGATAACCAAAATATACTTATATACCTTACCTGGCCTTACCTACCTAAATTGATTTACTACTTTTATACCCATTTTTTAAGTGGTTCTTGTTTGAATGAACACATGTCACATATTTGGTTTCTGTTTTTTTTTGCAACTGGGTATGGTGCAGATTTTGTATCAATGTTGATGTGGTTTGTGCATTTTTGTTTGCTCATTTTTACGGCATTTGCATGTGCGTGTGTGTGTGTTGATTGCTGATGTAAGGTTTGTCCAGTGGGTTTACTTGTGAGAAAAACTGTGCGAACGGATTAGGGGTGTGTTTTCTTCTTTTGAACAACTACTTGTCAAATTTTCAATAATTTGAACCTGTTACCTATGTGACCTTCTTCCTTCTTATGATTCACTATGCTACCTGTGACTGTACTTGAGTTGCTTCTGATGATGCATGTTACTTATGCATGAAAGCATTGTGGAAAAAGAAACTGAAACCAATGATTTTTGTTGAAGGGTATTTCTGTCCACCTACCTTGTTTTTGATTGCTGTTGGTCTTGAGTTGGTTGCCATGTTGGCCGTATAAGGGCAAGGGCCCATTTTTGATCAATCAGCTTGTGAAATCCCAAAAAGTTGTTTAGTCAGCTGGCATAGATGTCGTCATTTGGTGCTGCTGTTAGTGACATGTTTACTTGAGGTCATTACTTGAGTATCTTGCTTGAACTGGTTACTTGAAAAAAAAACGTGAGTATTAACACATTTTTCCCTTCACTGAGATGTATCTGAAATACGTTCATTTAAGTGATAGTTTTAATCACTCCTTACCTGAGATGATGTATCTCTGATGACTGCAAGTTGTCTGGTGTGTTGCCACTTTGTCGCACAGTTGGAAATGGTGTTTCAACTTGTTCTCGGCCAATCATGAGTTGAATATCCCATGGATATATGTTGTATATACTATGAATGTCTGTTGATTTTTGTCCTGAATGCAATATGATATGAGTATGTCTCAGGGTGAGGTGTCCTTTTTGGCCCCCAAAATATCACTTTGAAGAGCAAAAAAGGACACCTCATTTTGAGACATCGCTATATGTAGATTTTACAAACTCCACAAGAAACTTCGAGTCAAGGCTCTATCACTTTCTATTTTTTGTCATTTTGATGAAGTTATTTTGAAATTTTGATGAGCAATAGAAGAAAAAATATTGTGCAGTTCATATGCAGCTGGTATGCTGTTTTGAAAACGTCATAACTATCTTTTTGCAAAAAGGTATGTTTTTTGGTTGAAAATTAAAAACAAAAACAAAACTGCATAAGAACTGCATGCAGTTTTTATTTGTTCATCAAAATTTCAATAGAACATCATCAGAAATGCATAAGAACCTCAGAAAAAAAAGAAAAAACATGGAAGAAATCCGAAGGCAAACAAACATTGGCTATATATTGGGAAGTGTTTATATACATTACTATATAAGTGGAACTCCTTGTTGAACATACCCACAAGGATCCAACATAATTGCCACAAGTAATTCTAAATTCATTTTTTCATCGTTCTTGTCAATCTGCGCCAGACATGATCAAGATAAATGAGTGACTTATGTTCATGCAAATGCATACAAAAAAGAAGCAATGCCACAAGTAATCATGTGGCCTTGGCAGTTGTCCACAAATAGAGCAAATGGCATATGGGTTACAGACGTAACAAGTTCAATAAATGACATGCTGAATACACGAGTATCAGTTTATATACTATACAAAAATAGTACAAGTGATGATGCCTCAACATAGGGGTGCCCCAAAGCTTTAAATCCCAATTGAAGAATGTACACTTTGGGGCACCCCTATTTTTTGACAAGTATATATTTGCATGTTCATATACTTACATATTTTTCTTTTTGGTATGGACAAGATAGGAACAACAAATACGCACATGGCACTCACAAGTAAAATATGCTGCAACCAAGACATTTCACAGACAATATGTTTTCAGCTGGTTCATTACCGGAGGGTTCAAGTTGCCAGTCTTGTTTATTGCCTGAGATTCTGTGATGAAAGAAATGGCATTGTTTCGAGAGGTTCATGTGATAAAATGTGATGATTATTCATGGATGATGTTACTTGAGACATGTGCTGATGTTGCAACATATCTCATGTCAAACAAGTTCATACCTTGAATTTGCATAGGGATTAAGAACAGTGGCACCTCAACTCCCAGGGTGTTGTTGGTACACACAATGTTTTATATGAGTTTGTCTCACAAGGATTTGTGAATTACACAAGTAATTGAGAATTACATTCAAGTAGCTTTGCATTACCCTCAAGTAACTATGAATTACACTCAGGTAACCATGCGTTGTACACACAGGCAACTACGAATTATACACACAAGTTTCTCTGAATTACAAACAGATTGCACATCATGACACATAAGTTGCCTGAGAAAGTTGCCTGAGAAAGTTGCCTGAGAAACATCAAAAACACATACAACACAAGAAAATGCAATGCGCGTTTCATGCATCTTCAAATTTGGGCTACAACTTGAATCAATTTAGGATGTCGCCACAAAATTTGACCTGTTTTTTGATTTACATAAGTTAGACTCCAAAGTAAATTTACTATTTTCGGAGACTCTGGATACAATGTTTGTACAATGTTTGTACAATGTTCGTACAATGTTCGTACAATGGCCAAAAGTTCGTACAATATTGTACGAACTTTAGTGGTAGATTGTACGAACATTGTACGAACTTTTTTGGCCATTGTACGAACATTGTACGAACATTGTACGAACATTGTACGAACATTGTAAGAACATGGTACGAACATTGTACGGACTATGCATTGTACAAACATTGGCCCAAATATTGTACCAACATCGTATGAATGAACCATAGACCTGCAATATATCATCCTAATTCGGCAGAAAATATCAAGCTATCGATACCTATAGCCTATAACGTTTTATCAGAATTTCAATTATTAGAATATGCGAGTGCCCGATTTTCTTTCTTGTGCGGTTTATGTTTGACCGAAAAAAAACCGAACCAAACGCACCCTTTCAAACGTGACCAACCAAGCCTTTGCTTGTCCTGCCATGCATGTCAGCCTCAGACATGTGTCCCTCTCCATGGTTTTTGTATGCACACTGTTATAGTCCTAGTTGTGTTTTTGTACACCAAAATCCAATTATTTCAAATTGCGTAGAATGTCACCAGAAATGCTTCTGGAAATCACAAAGCATGTCTGAATGCGAAACTATTATCATGTAAAAATATATAATGTTTTGAAACTACCGAGGATGCTGAAAATCATTTCAACAAATCAATATCTTTGTTAATATCCTTGACGGTCAGACTTGCATCATTCTGGAATCGCAGCATATCTGTGTTAGTGGTTTAGTGTTTGTGTTTTCGTATTTATATTTAGGTTATCTATGTTATTTGTTTGCTTTTGCACCTTGCAATGCAGCCTCCAAGATCTATGTTAGTGGTTTCCCACATGTTTTTACAAAATGTTGCATCTAGGAAATCGAAATAAACATCTATGTTGTCTATGCTAGTGGTTTTGGATGGATTTGCGCTTGATACCCCATATCTATGTGAATAGGATCCTGAACGATTTTGGCATATTTTAGCATGTTTGTTCAATTATCGGATCTATATTAGGTTTTGTTCATGGATTTCACTCGTAACCCATTACATCTATGTTAGTAAAATTTGATGTTTTTGAAAACAATTTTGTATCTAGGTTAGGGGTTTTGTATTGATTTTGCACTTGGCCATCTTATTGACCTAAATGAACTCGGTATGTTTAATGAATCAGTTTCGGGTCTATGTTAGTGGGTTTTGTTTGCTAGAACAAATGAAGTGTTAGTGGCAAAATGCAGTTTGTGCAATCTGACGATATTGGGAAAATCCACAAACATAGATCTGTGAATTTCTGCACATCCATGTTTTTGGACTCGTGTATGTTTTGAAACCTTGTGGGAAACACAAAAAACAGAACTAGCATGAATCTAAACAGTTTCCAAAGACTATTTGTGTGAGCTGGAGTTTTCATACATTTCCATCTGTCGGTCCCACCGCTATGTTGGTGGTCTTTTGAGGGCTGTTCCCATCTATGTTAGTTTTCGATTTTTTTTCAACAAGAATGTAAAATCGCATGTTTCCACTCGGGGGCAACTTGGTCAAGCCACACCTGTTATAGACTATGTTTGCCTCTGTTTCATTTGCGCTCACAAAAAGTCTTAGATGGGACATTTGCAAAATCAAGGTGCGGATCCATGTTTCTCTTGATCTTTCAAGCTAATGCAGGTCCGTGCTAGTGATCAAAGTGGGTTTTACATTTTGCCGCACAAGTCGCAGGGCCTACCTTTACGGTATTAAACATTCCCAATATTATCGCAACTCCTGATGGATGTATATATATATATTTTTACTCATTCAGTCATTTATTTATTCATTCATTTATTTATCTATTTATTAGTCCTTCATTTCAATCTAGCATGTTGCCAAGAGCTACTGTATCTCAACGTCTATGTTAGTGTGAGCGTTCAGTTCCAGAGTGCGCAGTGCACAGGGGCTCCAACTAGAACACAAACATAATTGTAGAACCTCTCTGGATCTATGTTAGCTCTTTTTTGCTGGGCCTGCATTGTGTCCGTGGTGCTTTGGACCTAACATGGATATCAATTGCCGGGTGATGAGCTTCGTAAAGTTTTGAATTTGTTCCTCCAGGTGATCGTTATATAGTTTTAGGTACTGTAGGTCCATCCAAAATTGCTAACATAGACCTCGACATTGAAGTGTGGAAAATACAGGCCCATAGAAAACCACTAACATAGACTCCCATTTGGAATTGATAACTCCCATTTGGAGTTGATAAAAAACATAATGAATACCGCAAACAGAGACCCTGTGGATTGAGCTGCAAGATGCAAAACCCATTTGAATCAATAACATAGACCTTCAATATCATACCAAATCAAGCACAAAGTGTATAACTACGAACATGCAAAGGATCACTGACATAGCTCCTGCAACGATTGACCAATAACATAGACCTAACAAAACCCAGACAGATTCAAACATTAAATGTTCATTCAGGCTACTAAAACAGATGTGGAGAATTAAATGCAAAATCCATACAAAACCACTATATAACATAGGTTTTCACGCGGACTTGCCAAGAGGCAAAATATGTGCGAAACCACTAACATACCTTTATATAGCATATATAGATCATGGAGAAAGCGCTGCGAATTACAAAACCACAAATAACTCACATAGATTTTGAGTTTCAAACAGAAAGAAACACATAGGAGGACTAAAACAGATGTTGGAGCATGCATGCCTGATGTGAGCCTGACCTCCCAGAAAACAAACGAGCTGGACTGGACAATGCTGTACAATATTATTGAGCCGCTCAGGTCGAAAAAAGTAACAAATGCGGTTTTCTTGTTTGTAAATAGCAAAAACGTCCCGATTCTTATATATACC